GTGAGCATATTTTCTATCATTTCGAGGAATTAATAAACAAGTTTTTCTGATAACTTCCAAAATTGGGTTATTTGGTTTATTAAACTGGACCGTACTTCTTAGTAATATAGTTTCAATGGTGTAAGATGCTATACTTTTTGTCACGAAGTCTTTGCCCAGGCCTATGTCCTGAATGATATTGCCTAGGTTTTCTTCTAGGTTTTTTATGGTTTGGGGCTTTACATTTAAGTCTTTAATCCGTCTTAGTTAATTTTTGTATAAGATCCTATACTTTTTGGTCAGAAGCCTTCTGAGATAGGAGTGTGTCTTCAGGGGTAGAATAGTGGCAGATTCTCATACCTTCCCCATTATATCTGACCCCCTTAGGGTTGTAGTTCATACACTTTCTGTGGTAATCTGATGGTCTTGCAGTGTTAATAGTCCTTTGTCAAAGTGTGTGGTGACTCCTGAAATTTTTGTTACAATAACATCACTCCCCAGCAGGCTTTAATTTTTTGGCTCTACATAACAGAGGCTGCTTACTTTGAAGCATATTTCATTCACGAAAATAATTTCACATTCTGAAGTATTGTATTCTGCATGTACAACCTCTTCTGATAGCATCACAGGCATAAATAATTGCCAATCCGAGTAGCTATATTTGTTTTATTTATTTTTTTGAGACAGAGTCTCGCTGTGTCACCAGGCTGCAGTACAGTGGTGTGATCTCGGCTCACTGCAACATTTGCCTCTCGGGTTCAAGCAATTCTCCTGCCTTGGCCTCCCGAGTAGCTGGGACTACAGGTGCCTGCCATCACGCCCAGCTAATTTTTGTATTCTTAGTAGAGATGGGGTTTCACCATGTTGGCCAGGATGGCCTCTACCTCTTGACCTTGTGATCTGCCCACCTTGGCCTCCCAAAGTGCTGGGATTACAGGTGTGAGCCACCACGTCTGGCCTCCGAGTAGCTATATTTGTAAAAAGTACTTCAGATTGGAAATGAGTTTATCAACATCATAAATTGATACAAAATGGATTATATGTTCATTACAGATAGCAGGAAAGGGAAAATAGGAATAAAAGTAGAGTCCTAGTCCTGTTTATAATGCACTCTAGAAATATCCTCAAGCCAAGAAACCTACAGGTAGGGAATTAGTACCTAGTTTCTGTATTACCCCCACCCCCAGGCTGCCCACCCAATAAAACAAGAACATTGGAATAATTTTACAGGGGAAAATCCAAGTTTGAAGATAATATGGCATCTGCTGAAATATTTCCAAATGTTAGAAAGCTCAAGTGAAATACCTAGGAATTCATCTAACCAAGGTCAGAGATCTCTACAAGGAGAACTACAAAACACTGCTGAAAGAAATCAGAGACAAGGCCAGGTGCAGTGGCTCATGCCTGGAATCCCACCACTTTGGGAGGCTGAGGTGGGAGAATCACTTGAGCCCAGAAGTTTGAGACCAACCTAGGCAACATAGGAAGATCCTATCTCTACAAAAATAAAAATAAAAAAATAAGCCAGATGTGGTGGCATGAGCCTGTGGTCCCAGCTACTTGGGAGGCTGAGGTGGGAGGATGGCTGTGGTGAGCCGTGATAGTGCCACTGTACTCCAACATGGGCAACAGAGAAAGACCCTGTCTCAAAAACAAACAAACAAACAAACCCAAACAAAAAACAAATTAACAAGCAAATAATCCAATTTAAAATGGGCAAAGGACATGAACAGACACTTTTCAAAAGATGATGTACAATACAAGCAGCCAATAAACATATGAAAAAAATGTTCAACATCACTAATCATCAGAAAAATGCAAATCAAAACCACAGTGAGATAGATCTCACACTGATTAGAATGACAATGATTACAAAGTCAAAAAAGAACAGATGCTGGTGAGGCTGAGGAAAAAAGGAAATGCTTATACACTCTTGGTGGGAATGCTTATACACTATTGGTGGGAATGCAAACTAGTTCATCCACTGTGGAAAGCATTTGGATATTTCTCAAAGAACTTAACAGAGGACTACCATTCACTCAGCAATCCCACTACTGGGTATATACCAAAGGAAAAGTATTCATTCCATCAAAAAGACATACAGTCATATATTCAAAACAAAGACATGGAATCAACCTAGATGCCCTTCAACAGTGGATTAGATAAAGAAAATGTGGTACATATATACCATGGAATACTACATAGCCACAAAAAAAAATGCAATAATGTCCTCTGTAGCAAAATGGATGGAGCTGGAGGCCCTTTTGCTAAGCAAATTAACATAAGAACAGAAAACCAAATACTGCATGTTTTCACTTATAAGTGGGAGCTAAACACTGAATACACATAGACATAAAGATGCGGAACAACAGACACTGGAGGCTACTAGACGGGAGGGAAAGAGGGGGGAGTGAGCTGAAAATCAACTATTGCGTACTATGCTTACTACCTGGGTGACAGGATCATTCGTAGACCAAACCTCAGTGTCACACAATATACCCATGTAACAAACCTGTACATGTTCCCCTTAATCTATAATAAAAGTTGAAATTATATAAAAAAGGGAAAGCTCAAGTCGTTTTGAGGTATAGAAACTATTGGGTTAATTTTATTGTGGAATTGGGGAAATTACTGTTTAGTTTGCTTTAGAACAAAGAAAGTGAATGATGTAATAGTTTAGAGGCAGAACGACAGCGACAATTCAAGACCTTATTGTGGGTTCATCTCGGAATCACAGAGACGTTGTTTGACTGAGCTTCATATCACAGTAGAACAGAGAAAAATTCCCTCCAAATTATGCTGGGTTTGTGTCTATTAAAAAGAACTGCTTGGTGATGTCGACGGAAGACTCCTTTTCCATAGGTACAGCGTTCATAAGAATGTTTTATGAAAAATTCATGTTGACAAACTCTCACACTTAGCTTCCCACAGAGAAAAATTTTGCATATATTTCTAAAACAGTTCAAGTTCTCTCTTTCTCTCCCTCTCTCATGATTTTTCATACTCTCCTACACCCAAAGCTCTTTCTATACAGCCTATAGTCCTCTGTTCTACCAGCTGAGCTATCAAAGGGTGCACCCAAAGCTCCTTCTTTTGGGAGAGTCTCCTTTTTGCATTGCATGGTTCCAAGAAGCACCATTAGCATTGCAATTTATGTGGCAGGCTACCCAAATTTCCACATTCCCATGTCTTGTTAACTCCTCCTATGCTGTTTCATTTTTCTTCCTTTTATTCTTGATACTTCTCTCATCTTTGGTTTTGATGAATAATTCACAAATGCAGTGTAGTGAGAAGCCAGGTGGTGATTGTGGTGGATATTTGTTATTTGACAACATTCCTCTATTCCTCTGTTTCCTATAGGAGACTTCAAATTTCCTCCACTTTCAGGAAAAATATTTTTGGGCAAAACTGACCTACTCCAGGGACAGGTTTTGATAGTCAAATGCATAAATTTATTAGCATATTCCTTTCCCCTGGCCTCAATAATCGATTTAAGGATAGATATATTACCCAATCAAAGCTAATTAGATGGAAGGAGATTTGCTAGGACTCCTTCAACTTCTGTATGAGCCACTAGAGGTGATTCACTCCTTCCCACTGTATGTAAAAAAGGCACTAGGCAGTGAACAGAATAACAAATCTTTATCTTCATGGAGCATAGATTTTACTGACGGAAGCAGGCTGTAAACAAGATATATTAGATGGTATCTAGAACTAAAGAGATACATAACAAGGAGAAAAACAAGTGCTTTTTTTAAAAGCTGTTTTTGGTAGGGGGTGGTTCAGGGAAGGTCTCATTGACTTTTGCTCATTGACTAAAGACGTGAAGGAATGGGGCAATGTTTGGGGAAAAGCATTCCAGGCAGAGGGAATAACATATGCAAAATTCCTGAGACGGTAGCATGCCTGGAATGTCTGAGGAAGAGCTCTGAGGCCAGAGTGGCTGGAGCCAAGTGAACAAGTGATATGGGGGTCAGAGGTAACAGGAGGAAAGATCTGCACAGGGTTTTGTAGACTATAAGGAAGAATTTTACTCTGAGTGAAATGAGGAGCCATAGGGGGTTTAAAGCAGAGGAGTGACATGATGTGACTTAAATTATAATAGGATACCCTGGCTGATGTGTTGAAAGGGGAAAAGGGTGTGTGATGGTTCATTTTTTTGTGACAACTTGACCGGTTAAGGGATGCTCAGATAGCTGATAAAATGTTTCTGGAAGAGAGTAGCATTTGAATTGGTAGACTAAGTAAAGAAGGTCTGCCCTCACCAATGTGGGCAGATTGACATTGAGGACCTACGTAGAATGAAAAGGCAGAGGAAGGGTAAATTCTCTTGGGAAGGGTGCACCACACTTTTGGCACATGGAGTTGACTGTAGTCAAATTCATAGGAAGTCCACAAAGTTTAAAAAAGAACTTTATTGGCAAAAGTACCAGTACCAACTAAAAGGCAGAGGAAGGACAAATTCTCTTTTGGAGCTGGGACATCCATTTTTCTCTGCCCTTGGACACCAGAGGTGCTGGTTCTTGGGCCTTGGGACTTCAGGACTCACACCAGCAGCTCCCAGGGTTCTCAGGGCTTTTGCCTTGGACTGAGAGCTATACCACTGGCTTCCACAGTACTCAGGCCTTCGGACTCAGACTGAATCACACCACTGGCTTCTCTGGTTCTCTGCTTACACACAGCATATTGTGGGCTCTCTAAGCCTCCATAAGTGCATGAGCCAATTCCCATAACAAATTTCTAGTCATATATCTATATATATCCTATCGGCTCTGTTTCTCTGGAAACCCTGAGTAACATGGTGGAAGCTGGGAGAAGAAGGGATAGTGAATGCTCGGCAATTATGATAGAAGTCTTTATATATTGAAATATTGGTGCCAATTTTTCACTCTTAATAGAATTGGAAACAGAGAGAGATAAAGGGAGGCAAATCTTGAAAGAAATTGTGGGTGCACCACACCTTTTGACATGTGGAGGTGACTATATTCAAATTCATAGGAAGTTCACAAAGTTTTAAAAAGAACTTTATTGACAAAAGTACCAGTGCCAGCTAAAAGAGATTGACATTCTACAAGGTACAAACAGATTATTTGTCTCTAGTTTTCTACAGGCAGAAAGCAGGTTGAAGAACCCATTTATCCACCAAAAAAGGCATATTCTCTAATGTCCTTTGCAAGTGACTAAGGAAGATGAGGGAAAAAGAATGATTCCCTAGAGTGCAGAACCAAGAGCTATGGAAGATAGACTGGAAGGTCATTCTTAGGGAGTAGAAACAGTGTGTAATCATGAAACATAATTCCCTCCAATAGAGGAACCTGACAAGCATTGTCCAATGAGGTTTCCTAATTGCTAGGGACCAGTGGCTGTCACCTGCTTCCATTTCTACCCTTTGTGAATAAGAGTATTTTTTGTGATTATTGTCTCTATTCCATCATTTGTTGTATGTGATAAAAGGATACTTGCTCTTTTAATTCACGGGTCTCTATATCAAGAAGGACTATATTTGGACCTGATGTAGATCATGAGATCCTGGACTTCAAAGATGTGATGGAACTTTTAGGGGTTTTGGGATAGGAGTGGGTCTATTTTTACATGTGGTAAATATATAATTATAATCAAGCAAGCAGATTGTGGTAGATTAAATTACTGGTCCCAATTCTTCACTACCCTGTAGTAGCATTATGCACACATGAGCCTTTGCTATGGCTGCATGGTGAACAGTGTACTTCCTCATCCTCCTCACTTTGGGCTTCATTAGATGACTTTCTTTTGTATATGGGATGTCAGTGGAAGTGATATGAGCAAAAGCTTGAAATACTCTTGCATGCTGGGTTTTCCTGCTTGTCTGCTGTGACCAGCACGAAAAAAGCTTGTCCTGGATAACGTCTTTCAGCAGGGGCTCAGAATAGGACACGTGAAGTAGAGGCACTGTGCTGCAGCTAACCCTTGGGCCCACAGCCTGAAGCAGACCTTCCTCTGTCAACCCGCAAACGCACAGCTTAGAGCTGACCTGAACCTAACCTTGCGGTTGTAGTCCAGCCTAGCTCAGCTACATTACCACTGACCTACAGACCCAGGAGAAAAGATAATTGTCTTAAACCACTGACTTTGGAATGGGTTGTGCAGTAGTAGTGAGATAATCATTGACCAATATAAGTTATTGCAATAATTCGCAAGGCTATCATGGGAACTAGGACCAAGGTGGTAACAATGGAAGTGGTGAGAAGTAGGCAGATTCTGAGTATCTTTTATAGGTACAACCCACAGGTTTTGCTGATAGATGGTATATGGGGTGTGAAAGAAAGTGATGCATTAAAGACGAATTCAAGGTTTTTGGCCTGAGCAAATGGAAGAATGGAGCAGCCATTTTTGAATGGAAGAACTTGGGTGTGGGGGAAGTTTCAGATTTGGGGGCAATATCAGGAGTCATTTTTTATATGTTACTTTTGAGATGCCTACAGACATCCAAATAGGGATGTTATGTAGGCAGCTGAATATAGAAGTTCGCAGGTAGAGGAGAGAAAGGTCTGGGAGTAATCATTAAGAAGATTGGATTTTAAAGCTACGAAACTGCAGGAAATCAAGTGAGTGTAGAAATGGGGTCAAAAGACTGAGCCTAAGGGCACATAGCATTTAGTGGTTGGGGAGTTGAAGAGTTACCAGTAAAGGGAATTGAGAAGGAACAGCCAGAGAGACAAGAGGAAAACCAGATAAGTTCTAATAAAGTGTCATTCATACGTGTTGTTCCCGTAATATCACATCCATTGCTCGCCTTTTCCTTTTCCTCCTTCACTACAAATATCACCACCACTAGATCTGTCTGTCTGTGTGTGTGTGTGTGTGTGTGTATGGAATGCACAGTGTTAGTCACTTTATGTGTGTAACAAGAGAATTTACTGAAAAGGCTAACTCATCTCTTTTTTTTTTCCTGCTATATACTCACTAGGGAAAAAAATACCTTTTTTTCTCTTCTGGTCTCCTCTACAGGTCAGGGAATCTAAGTCTTTGCATAAATTCTGGGTCCTCCCTTGACAATTCTCTAAGCAGGATGGCTCTGTCTGAGAGGGGAAGGTGTTAGAAGCTGGTGCTTTCAGTGGAATGGGAGGGACGATCAGCTGGAATCCTGGAGGAGAACTGATATCTTTTACTCTGTAAGCCTGGAGGAGGGGGGTTAAGGAGGGGAGGAAGCGGGATATTAGAGACTTGTGTTTAGCTAGCATGAAACTCTCTATAGTGGCAGCAAGATTTTGGAAGGAGAAAGGCTGCCTGTATGAGTGGACATTAGAGAATGAATGCCACAACCTTGGAAGCATTGGTGTGAATCAACTGTGTTTGAGTGGCGATCACTTGGGGGAACCTCTGTTGCAGAGTCTGATAAAGGCTCAGTGCCAGGGAAGGGCAGTGAGGCACCTGAAATAAAACTGCTTTGCAGAAAGAGCATGTCTAAGCCTAGGACAAGGATCAAAGTATTTGTAGGAGAGTATTTGTTGTGACAACATATACCTGGTTTTAGAAGCTCCTCAGGACTGAGCCATCCTGGCTTGTTTTTGAGTTTTGGGGAAAGACTGACTTTGTGACTATAAACCAAGAGAGATGTAATCCTGGAACTAAATCATGGGTCATCCACTGTGGTGCAGGCAGGATTGGAACCAGCCAATCGCCTCAGTCTGCTGGACTATGCTACAACATTATGGTAGAAGGCAACAGCATTAACTAAATGGTAAGACTCCACTTTCTACCCTTTGTATTGGGAAGAGAACTGCACCCTTTGGTCTAAGACATGAACTCTCAGTTTCTTCGACAATCAAGGGTGGAGAGGCCTCAGAAAGGAGAGACTGAACTTTCTAAAAATAAGGCGCTGGGGATTTGAATGGTTCATTGAAAACATAAAAGAGATAAAGCCTCTGAGTTTGTGAAACAGGCATTACCATTTGTATACTTAAAAACTTGGGAAGTTTTAACTGAAGAAGTCAGCATGATATGATAGCTTTTGCTTTTTCCAATATGATGTTATTAGTCTTGTTCTGTGTGGTTCTGGAGAGCAAAACAATAAAGAATTGTAAATTGCATGAGTGTAAGAACAAATATTCACTATTAATTCCCAGCACATGAATAGTGCTCAATACATTTTCAATAAATGATTGAATACATGTATGAAAAATGAAAGCCAGTGGGTTAAACTTACAAGGAGGCAGGGTTTCTTTCTTTTTTATTTTTTATTTTTGAGATGGAGTCTTGCTCTGTCACCCAGGCTGGAGTGCAGTGGTGCAATCTCGGTTCACTGCAACCTCCACTTCCCAGGTTCAAGCAATTCTCCTGCCTCAGCCTCCCAAGTAGCTGGGATTACAGGTGTGCACCACCATGCCTGGCAAATTTTTGTATTTTTAGTAGACATGGGGTTTCACCATGTGGGCCAGGCTGAAGGAGGCAGATTTTTGTCCCAGCTTATCTTTCTAAAAATTCCAAAATTAAATAGACTATCATTAAGAAGCAGTGAAATTTTTTATCACTAGGAGTGAAACAGGAGCTAAAGAACATTTTTGGGGGATGTGATAGAGAGGATTTATTCATTTGATAATGGTTAAAACACATAACCTCTGAGATCTCTGTAATCTCAGATGCTTTTGTTCTGTAATTCTAAATCCAAGGGTCTCTATAGATAGGCTTGAGACAAGTGTAAACAAACTCATGATCTCAGAGAAATCTTCAAGTGGCATGTTTCAATGGTATGCTTATTAAACAAATGCTCATGACAGATTTTCACAACAGTAACGAATGTTATTTCACAACATCAAATCTTCCTTCCTCAGGAAAAAATGACATTAACATGAAGGTTGATGGATTTGGATTATTTTTCATGTGTCCTGGAGGTAAAACCAGTGTCCTCACTTGTTTTCCTCTTTTTCCTCATTTTGAAGACTATCTGTTTTCATTTTCTTTACCTCCTCTCTGGCTACGTGTCCCCGGAAGGCAGCTTGGATTTTGACAGCAGCAACCTCTTCTTTTTCCTTATCTTCCTCAGAAGAGTCCTTCATCGAAAGGAGAAAAAGTAAGAGACTCTTTAAACATGCCGTATTTCTGATGCCATAAAAATAATGCAACAAATTTAATCAATTTAGGGATGCAACTATCTGAGAGTTGTTGCTTCCTGAGGGAATTTCATATATTGTCACATTGTATATGTACCAAATAGCAAATGCCAAAATAGCAGACATTTTGTTCGCCTGAGACACAAAAAGGAACTCGGAAGTTTGAACGTCGACATTGTAGAGAGTGAGTTCTTCTTTCTATGAGGACTAGTTCACAAGAGTCTGGAGTATGAAGAATACAGATAGATATTAAAAGACATATCTTTTAATATGTCTCTGCAACGAAAGATCATTGCCAACTTTCTTTCCCCCAAAATAGTGTCTATTTAAGTTTCCTGAGCAATAACATTTTTTGGGGGGTTTGGGGGGACAAGAAAGAATCTTTGAGGCATAGTAAAAATGTTAAGGAGAAAGAATAGTAAATGTTATGTTTCAAAATAATCACAATTATATATAATGAATTAGAATAACTTCTCAATTTCTCAATGATTAGCTAATCATAGTCATACATTTAAAGTGAGGTGCCAAAGAGAAATCTATTTAGTCCAATAATGTCAATTTTAACATGGTTGGTTGAACTATGGCACATACCCTCTTTTAAAAAAAATTGGGTATAAATTTTTAGCTCTAAATTTACAGACAGTAAAATGCATGAATCTTCAGTGTACAATTGAATATATAGCTTTTAATATATCTTTTAAAATTATAGAAATGACATGTATACACTTTAAAAACTCAAATGTCACTGGCAGTGATAATTTTCTCCCTCTATCCAAATCCTGCTCCTGGGAGATACCCATTATTATGAGTTGAGTATCTACATCCTTCCAAAATTTCTCTATATGCAAATATATTCATATGGGTGTATATATATATGCCTTTTTATTTTAAAAATGAGATCATGCTAATCACAGAGTTCTGCAGCTACTTTTTCCATGGACGATATATCTTGCTTCTCTTTTTCTGCATTATTAGTCAGTGTATAACTCTGCTCATTCTTTTTTTATGACATCATTATATTATACTGATGTACTTTTATTTAATATTTACTCAATCTCATATTAATGGACCTTTGGGTTGCTCAAGCCTCCTATCCCCCCATTATAAACAATGAGACAAATCTAGCTCTTAAACTTTTAAATGCAAACAGAATGGTACAAAATTCTTCGAGACGACATCCTAATATAGGCAAACAAATACACTCAAGTTTGAAATCAATGAGATCCCTACTCAAACTCATGAAAACCTGTGTAAGAGCACCTATGAAAGATGTAAGGAAATAAAACTCCCTTCTTGCTTGACTCCCTGTTACATCTTAATGTTAATCTTCCTGTTATATCTTAATGTTATTTCAGTACAACCTAATAGTAAATAAATAAAATCCATTTAGTCCAATAATGTCAGTTTTAACATGGTTGGTTGGACTTTGGCACATACCCTCTTTTAAAAAAAATTGGTTATAAGTTTGTAACTATAAATTTACAGACAGTAAAATGCATGAATCTTCAGAGTACAATTGAATATAATTGAATACAATGGAAATTGAATATAATTGAATATAACAGAAAACAATACAATTGAATAACCTGTACATCTTTTTTTTTTTTTTTTTTTGAGACTGAGTCTCGCTCTGTCGCCCAGGCTGGAGCGCAGTGGCCTGATCTCAGCTCACTGCAAGCTCAGCCTCCCAGGTTTATGCCATTCTCCTGCCTCAGCCTCCTGAGTAGCTGGGACTACAGGTGCCCGCCGCCTCGCCCGGCTAGTTTTTTGTATTTTTTAGTAGAGACGGGGTTTCACCAAGTTAGCCAGGATGGTCTCGATCTCCTGACCTCGTGATCTGCCCGTCTTGGCCTCCCAAAGTGCTGGGATTACAGGCTTGAGCCACCGCGCCCGGCCACCTGTAAATCCTATAAGGAAAAGCAATGCATCACTAGGTAGGAAGTAGGGTATTCCTTGAGGGGATATCCATTCTGGCTGCCAGTTCCTGGGCAACTACCTGGGACCTAAGACGTAAAAAGGAACTCAGAAGTTTGAACTTCGACATTGTAGAGAGTGAGTTCTTCTTTCTTATAAGGCCTAGTCCACAAGAGTCTGGAGTATGAAGAATATAGACAATGGTGTACTGGTAAGTGTTTTAACAACTGGCTCTCCAGAAGAAACAAAACCCTGATTTGCAGTGTTTGCCATGGTCTTAATATTCTCACTGTTGCCGACTTCAAGTTATTAAAGTGACATTACCGAACATAGGCCTTTTGGTATGTCCTTTTTTTTTTTTTTTTTTTTTTTTTTTTGAGGAGTCTTGCACTGTTGCCCAGGCTGGAGTGCAGTGGTGTGACCTTGGCTCACTACAACCTCTGCCTCCTGGGTTCACGTCATTCTCCTGCCTCAGCCTTCCAAGTAGCTGGAACTACAGGCGCCCGCCTCCACAGTCGGCTAATTTTTTTGTATTTTTAGTAGAGATGGGGTTTCACCGTGATCTGCCCGCCTTGGCCTCCCAAAGTGCTAGGATTACAGGCGTGAGCCACCGCACCTGGCCTCTGCTATGTCTTGACTGCTTGGATGTAGCACATCAGGCACAAAGGCATTTTTGTAGAGGGTTATGCATGGAAGACAAATAAGCCACATTGTTGTAAAGCCATTATTTTGGCTGTATGTAATTCCCTGTGATTTTTCCTTTTGTTATCTCTGAACATTTGCTATTGTATAGTGGTGACAGCACCAATTAGTGAAAAATTCCCAAAGTGGAAGATGAATCTGAAGGATCATGACTAGGGCTGTGAGTTCTGTCTGCCCTTCCCCATAGGGAGATTTTTCCATCCATTAACAATCTTGAAAAATAAGATTTAATTTTTAAGGGAAAAATGAGTTTGTGATCATAAGAGGCATGGCTGAAAATGATCTACCAGTTAGTTTATCACTGATGTTAATTATCTGGAAAAGTAAAATCATAATTTTGATAATAAAGATAACAGACATTCATATTTAGAGTTCAATTTTAAATTGGGCAATATCATTCTTTGTAGGAATCCAATAGTATATGAAAAATATTACATACTAAGATAGTGACTGATGTCTCTTCCTCCTTCCCAGATATCTGAGATTCTTCTTGTTTAGGATCACTTTTCTCAGGTGGTTCTTGCTCCTGGACAGGTAGAAGAGAGCCAAATCAGCAATGTTTCCAAAATAACAAAATCTTGTATCACACTGCTTAGAAGTAATGAAATATTACTTTAAATTACTGAGAAATAGGGGGAATTAAATACTACATATTTATCTTTTAATAAGGAAAATACATTGAAACAAGAAGAAATAATAAAAGCTCTTAAGGGAATATATGTAAACAAATATTAAAGACCAAATAATTGGCAAAAATGTTTGATCTATTGCCTTTGGAATGTGTGTACCACTGTTTTATGTTAAAAATAAACCACTGTCCTATACTAAAAGTTGGTAAGATGATGTAATGAATCCTGAACAAAGTATAAAAAAGAGGTTCCAATAGTTTCTAAAATAGGAATAAATGACATTGTCTTCCAGAATGTGACATCAAATTGACTTTTTAGTGACATTTATGGATTAAAACTAGTCAAAGAAGTAACTTTTGCTGTGGAGTTTTGCTTTATGATTTAAATATAAAAGGAGAAACCACCTCTGCCTATTTTGACGTGGCTATTTAAGTCTTCCTCCATTGCTAATTCACACCTATGGAAAGAGCTTCTTTAACCCATAAAACCAAAATTTAAGTATAAGTTAATCAAATAAAGCCTTTAAAATTAAAAAAAGAAACACCCCAAAATTGCTATGTGACGCAAGGATTTTAACATTTTTCAACATTATTCCTTTGATATCGATAAAACATGAATACAATTAAAACATGAGCACAGAGAATCTAGTAAAATGGAAATACACAGAACACACCCATATCTGCAGGCACAAATGGATGGAACTTCACTTTCAAACTCGTGTAATAAGTGACAACTCCTTCTTCAGGAAATTCCCCAAATCTACTGGAGAACACCACCAACACTTGAACTTTGTTAATTCTTTTCAATTCTAATATCTGCTGTGCTTTGTGGCTAATAGTACTACCTCAGTTGTCTAGAGCAGTGTTCTCAAATTTTAATGTACCTACGAATTATTCTGGTGATCTCTTAAAAATGTAACTTCTGATTTGTAGACCTGGAGTGGGGCCCAATACTTTGAATTTCTTCTTTTTCTTTTATATTTGTACACATTTATGGAGTACATGTACAATTTTGTTACATGTGTGGATTGGTGATCAAGTCAGGGCTTTTAGGGTGTCAGTCACCCAAATAATGTACATTTTAGCCTTTAACCAATTTCTCATTATTGTCCCTTCTCCCACCGCTCCTCACTCTTCTGAGTCTCCATTATCTATCATTCCACTGTCTATGCCCATTTAAACACATTTTTTCAGCACCCACTTATGAATGAAAACAAGCACTACATGTCTTTCTGTGCCTGGCTTGTTTCACTTAAGATAATGGCCTCCTGTTTCATCCACGTTGCTAGAAAAGACATGACTTCATTCTTTATTATGGCTGAATCGTATTCCATTGTGTATATATCCCATATTTTCCTTATTCATTCATCCATTGGACAGACACTTAGGTTGATTCCATATTTTTGCTGTTGTGAATGGTGTTGCAAACAACATAAAAATGAAGGTATCTTTTGATGTATTGATTTATTTTCCTTTGGGTAGATATCTAGCACAGAGATTGCTGGACTGAATGGTCATTCTATTTTTAGTTATCTGTGAAATCTCCATACTGCTTTCGTTAGAGGCTGTACTAATTTACATTCCTGACAACAGTGTATAAGAGTTCTCCTTTCTCTGCATCCTTGCCAGTATCTGTTACTGTCTTTTTCATAATAGTCATTCTGAGTGGGGTAAGATAATATCTTATTGTAGTTTTGATTTGTACTTCTCTGATGATTAGTGATTTTGAGCATTTTTAAATATACCTGTTGGACACTGTATGTCTTCTTCTAAAAAAATCTCTATTCATATCCTTTTCCAAGTACTTTTTCCTCCCTTCCTCCCTCCCTCCCTCCCTCCTTTCTTTCTCTCTTTCTCTCTTTCTTTCTTTCTTTCTTTTTGAGACGGGGCCTCACTCTGTTGCCCAGGCTGGAGTGCACTACAGCCTTGGCCTGTGGGCTCAAGTGGTCCTCTCACCTTAGCCTCCCAAGTAGCTGGGGCCTACAGGTGCACACCACCACATCTGGCTAATTTTTTGAAGAGATGGGTTTTGACATGTTGCGCATGCTAATGTCAAGCTCCCGGGCTCAAGCAATCTTCCTGCCTTGCCTCCCAAAGTGCTGGGATTACAGGCATGAACCACCACTCCCAGCCCTTTGCCCACTTTTTAATGGGATTACTTATTTTTTGTTGTTGTTGAATTGTTGGACTCCCTTGTGTATTTTGGATATTAGTCCCTTGTTGGATGAATAGTTTGCAAATATTTTCTCCCATTCAACAGCTTATGTCTTCACTCTGTTGATTATTTCTTTTACTGTGCAGAAGCTTCTTAGTTTAATTAAGTCCCATTTGTCTATTTTTGTTTTCGTTGCCTGTGCTTTTGTGGTCTTAGTCATACATTCTTTGCCTAGACCAATATCCAGAAAAGTTTCCCCTAGGTTTTCTTCTAGTATTTTTATAGTTTTAGGTCTTATGTTTAAGTCTTTAATCCATGATGAATTGATTTTTGTGTACAATGGGGGATAGGGGTCCAGTTTCATTTTTCTACATATGGCTCTCCAATTTTGCCAGCACTATTTATTGAAGAGGATGATATCCTTTCCACAATATATGTTCTTATCAGCTTTGCTAAAGATCAGTTGGCTATATGTACATGGCTTTATTTCTGGCTCCTCTCCTCTATTCCGTTGATCTATGTATCTGTTTTTATACCAGTTCTGTGCTGTTTTGGTTACTATAGCCTTGTATTAGGTTGGTGCAAAAGTAATTGGGTCTTTTCCACTGAAAGTAATAGCAAATATGGCAATTACTTTTGCACCAACCTATAATATCATTTGAAGTCAGGTAATGTGATGTTTCCAGTTTTGTTCTTCCTGTTCAGGATTGCTTTGGCTATTTGGACTCTTTTTTGGTTCCATATGAATTTTAGGATTGTTTTTCCCAATTCTGTGAAAAGTGAGTTGGTACTTTGATAGGGATAGCAATGAATCTGTAGATTGTTTTGAGAAGTATCGTCATTTTAAAGTTATTAATTCTTCTGATCCATGAGCCTGTGATGTTTTTCCATTTGTTTGTGTCATCTTCAATTGGTTTCATCAGTGTTCTGTAGTTTTTCTTGTACAGTTTTTTCACCTCCTTGGTTACATTTACTCCTATGTGTTTTTTAAAGGTATTATAATGGAATTACCTTCTTGATTCCTTTCTCAGTTAGACTGTTATTAGTGTATGGAAATGCTACTGATTTTTGTGCATTGATTTTGTATTCTGTAACTTTATTGAATTCATTTAACAAATCTAAGAGTTTTATTGTGGAGTCTTTAGATTTTTCTAGATATAAGATTATATTGGGATTCAGGCATGGTGGCTCATGTCTGTAATCCCGGCACTTTGGGAGGCCAAGGCAGGATGATCGCTTGAGGCCAGGAGTTTGAGACCTGCCTGAATATAGCAAAAGCCCAAAAGACAAAAACATTACAAAAGACAAAACATTATTCAGTGTGGTGGCACATGTTTGTAGTCCTAGCAAATTGGGAGGCTAAGATGGGAGGATCCCTTGAGCCCAGGAGGCCAAGGCTACAGTGAGCTATAATTACACCATGGCACTCCAGCCTGGATGACAGAATGAGACCCCATCTCCGAATATATATACATATATATATCAGCAAACAGAGATATGTGACTTCCTCTTTTCCAGTATGGATGCTTTTTATTTTTTTCCCTTACCTCATTGCTCTGGCTAGGACTTCCAGTACTATGTTGAATAGGAAGGGTGAAAATGGGCATCCTTGTCTTGTTCCTGTTCTTTGGGGGATTGCTTTCAACTTTTTCCCATTCGGTATAATATTAGCTGTGGGATTTTTGTATATGGCATTTATTGTTTTGAGGTATGTTCCTTCTCTGCCTAGTTTGTTGAGGTTTTTTATCATGAAGGGATGTCGGATTTTATCAAATGCTTTTTCTGCATATGGTTTTTGTCTTTCATTTTGTTGATGTGATGTATCACATTTATTGATTTGCATATGTTGAACCATCCTTGCATCCCTGGTTTAAAACTGATTTTATCATGGTGTATTACCTTTTTGATGTGCTGTTGGATTCTGTTTGCTAGTATTCTGTTGAAGATTTTTGAATCTATGTTCATCAGGAATATTTTTCTGTAGTTTTCTGTTTTTGTTGGGTCCTTGTCTTGTTTTGGTATTAGGGTGATACTGGCTTCATAGAATGAGTTAGGAAGAATCCGTTCTTCTCAATTTTTTGGAATAGTTTAAGGAGGCTTGGTATTAGTTTTCCTTTGTATGCACAACTGGGTAGAATTTGGCTGTGAATCCATCCAGTCCCAGGCTTTTTTTTTGGTGGTGTTGGGGTGGGGGAGATTTTTATTACTGAATCAATCTTGCTACTTGTTATTAGTCTGTTCAGGTTTTCTATTTCTTCCTGGTTCAATCTTGGTAGGTTGTATATTTCCAGGAAATTATCTATTTCCTCTACGTTTTCTAGTTTGTGAGTGTATAACTGTTCATAATGGTCTCTGATGACCATTTGTATTTCTGTGCTATCAGTTGTAATATCTTCTTTTTCATTTCTGATTTTGTTTATTTGGGTCTTCTCTCTTCTTGGTTAGTCTAGCTAGCCATTTATCAATTTTATTTATCTTTTCAATGAACCAAGTTTTTGTTTTGTTAATCCTTTGTATTGTTATTTTAGTCTCTATTTAATTTAGTTTTGCTCTGATCTTTGTTCTCTCTTCTGCTACTGTTTGGTTTGTTCTTGCTTTTCAAGTCGCTTGAGGTTCATCCTTTGATTATTAATTTGTAATCTTTCTGCATTTTTGATGTAGGCATTTATTGCTATCAACTTCTCTCTTAGCACTACTTTTTCTGTATACCATAGGTTTGGATATGTTGTGTTTCCAGTTTTCA